CAACACTGACAAGTGCAAGGTGCTGCACCTGGGGAGGAAGAACCAGCAGCATACCTACAGGCTGGGGAACTCCCTTCTCATCAATGCAGAGGCAGAAAAGGATCTTGGAGTCATTATTGATGCCAAAATGAACATGGGCCGACAGTGTGGGGACGCGGTCAGGAAGCCCAACCACACCTTGTCATGAATCCACAGATGCATCTCAAGCAGGTCCAAGGAAGTGATCCTCCCTCTCTATACAACACTGGTCAGGCCGCAGTTGGAGCACTGCGTCCAGTATGGGCGCTGCACTTCAGGAGGGATGTGGACAGCATGGAGAGGGCCCAGAGGAGGGCCACTTGCATGATCAGGGGTCAGCAGGGAAGGCCCTATGAGGAGAGGCTAAGGGACCTGAACCTGTTCAGCCTCCACAAGAGAAGGCTGAGGGGGGATCTAGTGGCCTGTTACAAACTAGTCAGGGGGGACCAGCAGGCATTGCGGGAGTCCCTGTTCCCCCAGGCACTACTAGGAGTGCCTAGAAATAACCATCACAAGCTGGCAGAGGGTAGATTCAGACTAGACATCAGGAGGTGCTACCTTACTGTCAGGGCGGCTAGGATCTGGAACCAACTTCCAAGAGAAGCGGTGCTGGCTCCTACCCTGGGGGTCTTTAAGAGAAGGCTAGACGAACACCTTGCTGGGGTCGTTTGACCCCAGGACTCTTTCCTGCCATTGCAGGGGGTTGGACTCGATGATCTGCTCAGGTCCCTTCCGACCCTACAAACTATGAAACTATGAAACTATGTTGAAAAGCACCATTCAAGCACGGACCCCTGAGGGACACCACTGGCCACTTCATGCCAGGACAACACAGATCCATTCATGAGAACTCTTTGGGTCCTACCCTATAGCCAGTTTTCCACCCACTGAGCTGTCAAGCAGTTGAACCTGCAATCTTCCAGTTTTCCCACAAGGATATCATGGCATACTAGATCAAAAGCCTTTCAGAAGTCTAGGTATATAGTGTCTACCATGTCTTTCGTGTCCAGGTGGCAAGAGACCTGATCCTAGAAGGAGATGAGATTAGTAGGACAAGACCTACCCGTGACAAAGCCATGCTGGCTGTCATTTAGAATCTTACCTTCTGCGAGCGTATTGCACATAGACTATTTAATGAGCTTTTCCAGGATTTCCTCTGGGATGGAGGTAAGGCTGACTGGCCTATAGTTGCCTGGGTCCTCCCTCTTCCCCTTCTTGAAGATGGGCACAGTGTTGGCCCTCTTCCAGTCATCAGGGATTTCCCCTGTGCACCACAAATTCTGGAAGAGCTTTGCCAGGGGTTCTGCGATGACGTCAGCCAGCTCCTTCAGCACTCTCGGATGGAGTCCATCTGGTCCTGCTGACTTATAAACGTCTAGCTTTTCTAATTGGTATTACAACCACTCAGCATCCACAGTGGGGAGGCTGTCAGTCCTGGCATGTCCCCTATGAGCCTTGTTTTGCTTGACATTCCCCATGGTCCAGTGAAATATAAAAGCAAAATGGGCATTCAGGAGTTTCGCTTTTTCCTGAATATCAGTTACCAGCTGTCCTGAGATGTTAAGCAGGGGCCTCTCACTTCCATTTGTGCGGGACCTAAAGAAGGACTTCTTATTATTCTTGACTCCCACAGCTAATCTAAACTCTGTCTCTGTCTTCACTTTCCTGATCAATTCCCTAAAAGTGCTGGCCACTGTTGTATAGTCCTCCTTGAGGTCTATCCCTAGCTTCCACTGTGCGTACACTTTTTTTTCTTTTTTTAGAGGACCACAATGTCCTTATTAAGCCAGGAGGGCTTGCTAGCCCTTCTTCTGCCTTCCCTCTCTTGCAGGAATGGTTTTCTTTTGTGCTTTGAGGATCATATCCTTGAGCAATGACCACTCTTTGTGCAACCCATTCTCCTTCCCTTCCTGGTCCTGCAACACCTCCTCTACTAATGCTCTGAGCCTGTCGAAGTCAGCATTTTTGAAGTCCAGGACTTCAATTCTGCTTGTTGATTTAGTGACCCTGTGGTGGATGGTGAACCTGATAATTTCATGGTCGCTGTTGCCCAGGTTACCCTCAATATTCAAGCCACACAGCAGATCTCCTTTGGCCAAGACAAGTCTAGGAGAGCATTACCTCTGGTTGGCCCTTGCACTTCCTGGGTCAGGAATAGCTCCTCGATCACAGTCAAGGAACTGTGTGAATGATCTGACCTAGCCAAGTGTTCCTCCCAATCTATGTCTGGATAACTGAAGTCACCCATGACAACCAAGTCCCTTGCATGTGTGGCCTCTGTCAGTTCTTGAGAGAACTCCAGATCCAGCTCCTCCCCTTGGTTTGGTAGCCTGTAGTAAATGCCTACAGTTAGGTTTCTCTCACCTCGCCCCCCATAGCTTGACCCAGAGGGTTTTAAGCTGCTTATCTTTGGAGCCAATGCCAGCCTCCAGAGAGGTGTGCTGCTCTCTCAGGTAGAGAGCTACCCCTCCACCTTTTCTCCCTACTCTGTCCCTTCTGTGCAGGGTGTAGCCCTCTGCGGCTACACTCAAATCATGCAAGGAGTCCCACCAGTTTGTTGGGGGCTGCAAAGGAGGAGAAATTTAGACTTTAAAATGGAGAATTACATTTTAATTTTTCCAAGTATGCTGCCTAAACTATGGAAATATGCCTTTGCAAATAGCTTATTTAAGGACTAATGTGAGGAAATGTATTGAATACATTAGTTACTAATGATTTAACCAGATCTTCTCAAAATGGAGTCCATATGTGTGGGTGATGGCATTGTCATATATTGGAGATGACTCAGTTATTTGGAAAGCAGCACAGTTGACATAAATAATTATTTTTCCGCTAGGTAATGGTTATTCTACTATATTTTATTGCTTTTTATTATCCATTTGCCTTTATCTACCTTCTTTATCACCTTGAAGTTGGACTAACATGTCTATTTTACATCATATATAGGGAATATTCTCTTTTCACACTGGTGTAAATCAGGGGAGCAGGAACTCACTGATTTTCTAAAGCTTACAAAGATAAAGTCACTTCCTCTTACCTTTTGAAGCATTGCATTGCCTTGGTGAGCATTGATGTTGTGTTTGCTGACTTCTCTTTTGTACTGATATTCATATACTTGGTTTGTTACATTAACAAATAGTGTTGGTGGGCCAAATTTCAGCTTGTCACATTCATAGACTGTTCCACTTTCAAATGTTGATGGTTTTGTTGCATATCGTAATATCAATCCCATTATGAGACCTCAAAAATAAAAACAAGACAAAATGTTAATATATTGCAAGTTCTTGATTAAAAAATGTTTGTTGTCCAAGAGAGGTAAAGAGCACCTGTTTCTTAATGTAGCCACCCCCTACTATAGAGGGTTTCCTTTATCAGTAGCATTAACACTGGGCTATGTTGTGTGCAGTATTGTATGGATGTATATGAAGTATTCAGACGAAAATGGACACATTTGGAAGAACACAGAAGTGGCCATCTGATTTTTACAGGCACTCAGGACTGTCCCCATGTCTGTGATCTTGGTACCAAGGTCACTTTAATATTGTTGCTAACCTAGTTGCTCAAATACTATATGGCCAACAGGGCATGTGTGTTTGTGTGACTAATATAGTTCATTTTTTATTTTCTGAGGAAATAATTTACACACTTCTTGAGGCCCCCCAGTATATTCTGCCTTCTGTAAGGAGATGTATTCATGTATGATGCTAAATAAAACAACAACAAAAAATAGTAAGAAAGAAAAGAAGGATGCTCTTGTGATTAAGGTCCCCAGTGACTTGGTTTAGTTCTTGTCACTGAGTTCCTGTGTGATGCTTGTCTGGGCACAAACCCTGTGACTCAGTTGTAAGAATCTCTCTGAAGCATCTGAAGGTACTTCAAGAACAAATCTATAAACACTTGGGGAATGCTCAGATATAATATTGCAGGGATTTAGGTTGTAGCCGTGTTGGTCTAAGGACATAGGCAGACAAGGTTCCTTGGGTGAATTTGATATCTTTTATTAGACCAACCCAAATAGTTGGAAAATAATTATTAAGCAAGCTTTCAGGTTCAAAAACCCTTCGTCAGGCTAAGGAAGCTTCAGCAGTTGGTGTGCGCTCTTCCTGGATGGAATGAAAAGTAAAGAAGCCAGGGGCTGGGCTGGGGAGTCAGTTGCCAGGCAGATTATAATGTATCAAAAATCCATCTGCCTGGCACCTGACTCCCCAGTCCAGCCCCTGGCTTGTTTACTTGTCATTCCATCCAGGAAGAGCACACACCAACTGCTGAAGCTTCCTTAGCCTGGCGAAGGGTTTTTGAACCCGAAAGCTTGCTTAATACCCATTCTCCAACCATTTGGGTTGGTCTAATAAAATATATCAAATTCACCCAAGGAACCTTGTCTGTAGATATAATATTAATATATGTAATTTAGGAACCTATTGATATAGCTTTATTAGAATCTGGTGAAGCATGGGTTCATCTACACATGCTATTAATGCTATTTAGACTTACTGTGCAGTAATTTATGTGCAGTAAGGCAGCCCTGGGAAGGTATCTACATGTGCAGGGGGAGCTGCAGGCTCTGGATGCAGCTGCCTGGTTGCCAGGCCTCTCTAGGGTGGGGGAGAGGGGGGGCAGGCTCAGGCTGGCAGGGGTCACCGGGGAGGGGGCAGGCTTATGATGGCAGGGGTCTGCCCGCTGCTAGGAATCTCCAGTGGAGCAGGCTGTCTGTGGACCTCAGCCTGACCCCAGACTGAAAGGAGGTTGGCAGTCTCCTCTGCTGCCCAATATGGGGCCTGAGCTACTGTTCCCCGAGGTTGGGGATGCTTTCATTGCCGGTGCTGCCTCTGGCAGTGACTTCAGGTGCTGTCAGGTCCACACACGTACCCACAGCAGAGGGGCATGATGCCCAGAGGGTCAGACCAGTGGCCTATGGGACTACTGGAGTGGGCACAGTGCCCAGGGGCCAAAGAGCAGCTGCTAGAGGCCCGGGGTCAAGCTGGGGTTCTGCAGCACTCACTGCTGCAGCCAGCACATGCCTACCACACCAGTGCACAGTGGCCAGTGGCAGAAATCAGCTGGCTCATGCCCCAGGGGTCAAGCCAGGGGTCTAAAGGCCAGCCAGGGACTGCTACAGAGCCACTCCTGCCCTGTGACTAGAAGGACTCTCAGCCATGCTGCACTGCCCCAGGCAGGAGGCTGGCTCTCTGCTGGTTTGGTCAGGGGAGGTGTAAAGCTGTGGGGCTGGGGGGACTATGAATTACTTGAATCTAGAGCGGATTTGGGACAGAAATTCAAAAAAACAATTTAACCTAAATCGGTTAAGTCTGATACTACATCCATCTAGGTTTATCCTAAACTCATTTCAGGTATTTTGAAAGTGGTTTATGTACATTGAACTTCTGTTGTGTTACAGATTTGATCTGGTTTCTGATCACTCATGCTGCTTCATGTGTAATTTTTTTCCATAGCCTATGAGTCTAAGTCTTGTGAGGTGAAGGGAATGGGAGAAATGAAGTAGGCATTCGAAATCCCAATATAAAATATATATAGAACAGTAGCCACCTCAAGAGTTCAACAACAATTACAAGTCAGACTGCAGGAAACTATGTATTGGTTGGAAACAGTTTTAGATAGTTGGTTATGACTTCAGGTGATTTAACCTCTAGGAAGAACCATCAGTCTCACAAGGTATCATTACAGGTTGAACATTCACTTTGAAATATAAATGCAGAAATGTGGATCTTCCCACTATCTGCTTTTTTACCCCTCTTGATTCTCCTGGCCCCATCTTCATCTTCTCTTTCCTTGCCCTCTCATAATTTACTCCATATAGTACCCCTGTACTCCTGCATACCTCCATAATTTCCTTATCCCTTATATTAATACCTACACCATCTTGCCTTGCTTTCCACACTTAGATACCTGCCCAGTATCTGACATACCTCCACATATCTCCCTGCTTTGTTTTAGCACATAAGGTAGCCCTCTCTTTTCCTGTAGAAAAAAAATGAGAAACTGTGGCCATCTTTACTAGAGGTAGCCTCGCTTCCATATACAAAGGCTAAAGGGAAATGGCAGACATTTTAGCTGAGAGAGCTCAGTGTTGTTAATCTTATATACTCAAAAATCATGAGTTAGGCCTCCCAAAATCATTAGATTTTTAAAATTAATAAATTTGGGGGTTTTTTTCCTCTCTAATTTCTGGAGCTGGGTCATATTTTTTAATTTTCCTCTTAGCTACTTAAAAAAAGCTAAAATTCTAACCTTGTTTCCAGAAACCAGGATTTTATATAAAACATATTTTGAGAATTGCAAAAAATTACAAGATTTGACAGCACTGGAAGACTGTCGTCAGTTTGTAGTTTCTATATTTTGCTTTCATAGTCTCTATGCTGTAATTAGACAGACTGCTGAAAGATTTTGAGATTCTTAGAATATATGCTGCCAAAAAAACTATGAATTGCTTGATATTTAAATGTATGGAAACAACTTCATTCCTAGTAATACTAGTGCAATTTATGTTGTTGTTGAAATATGCTTTCAAACAGCAGTGCCCAGCTTAAGCCATGGGGGCAGCTATTACTTGGTGTCCTGGAAGGGCATGGTATCTTCAAAAGCAGACACAACCAACCTTTTGAAACAGTTTTATGGGTAGAGGCAAAAGTTTGTTCTTCCAGTTTTGTAGATACTGGGCACGTCTACACATTCATTAATGCACTTTAGGTAATGTGCATTAAATTTAGTACCTCCACTATGAGGTACTAGAAAAAGGCACATTAGCCTATTTTAATGTGCATTAGCTAAAGAGCATGTTTTTGTGACACTTTAATGTGCATAAAAATGGGCTAATGTACATTAAAGCACATGTGTAGACACAGCCAACTAAGGACCAAAATGTATTCCAATATGTAAAGTAACCCAGGTGCATATGTGTTTTAAACAAAGTTTTTTAAGGTCTCAATGGTTAATGTTGCTGTACAAATATAAAAATCAAGGGAGACACAACTGGATCAAGACTGGCTTCTGCTGCTTACTTCCCTTACTTTGGATCCCAGTCCCAAAAGCAATATAGACCAGGATAATGCAGATACTTAATAGCATTAGGGCAGAAAATGTAGGCATTTTTGTGAGTATTCAGTAGTGCACATGCAGCAGATGAATGGTATTAAGTGCAGCAGATGCTGACAATCAATATTCTCATAGCATTAATGGAGTTCCTATGCTCTGTGCAGCTCTCAAAGGAACATTATGATGTCTTAAATTTGAACAAAGTATGGATGGATTCAAGTCCCTTGATTCAGAAAACTAATGAGTGCTCCATAAAAGGATCTATCAAAGACTATTGCTGTATTACTACAACTTGTTTCTGAGTCAGTATAAAAGTTGGAATCCTATTGTTCTTTAATAAATATACCCAGCCATCTGATTAAAAATACAGGGTATATAAAATTGAAGAAAAGAATATTTAATATATTTGTTTATGCATCATTACACTATCTGTGAACTTTCCGGTTTATAGAGATTATTGTTTAATATCTCTTTTATCATAGAACTTACAGGTCTATTCAGTTTCTAATTGAAATCACCCATTTTTTTTAAATACAGGCCAAAAAAAGATAAAATAACTTAGAAAACATTCTGTATGACTTCCGTTAACTTTCCACTTATGCTGTTCTTATCTACTGCCTAAAAGTGTTTGAAATAGGTTCTAACGGGGCATTCAGAATACATCTAATATAGACAAACTACTGTAAATTTTTCCATTTCTCTTGAAGCTACTATATTCCATGACACTACATTTAAACCTAGAAATATTCTTTAACAGTTCTATGTGCTTAATATGCTTGGATCCCTGGCAAAAACACATCTCAACTACCTGATACAATCGTCAGAACTCTTAATCTTCCATTGATTCAGCAGTGAAGCTGTTCAAAATAAATAATTTTATGACAAGTCAGAAAATATGTAGAACCAAGAAATCATCCACATTTTTACAAAGAGAACATGTTGCTGTGCTTTGAACACAAGGGTTCAAATGATATAGATTCATATCATAACTTCTTATCAGTTGAGCATGGAGTTAGTCATTAATGCAGTTTCACTTTGCAAAGCTGAACCTGAGAATACTCAGCATGGAGTAGAAATCAGTCCCCAATAATCTAGGCCTCAGCATCCAATTATATCTTTCATTTGTCTCCCAGGTTCCTTTTACCTACAGCATTTTCCTTCAGTGACTAACACTGAAGTTACACATAATTCCTTTTTGAAGTACGTCTGGAGAGAAAACAGAAAGGACATAATTTAAAGTGACAGACTCAAAGAAATCCCATATAATTTTCTTATATCCCATCATTTTTCTTATATCCCTTTTATATAAATTTTGATTATTAACAATGAAAACATGTTTTCATCAGTCTGTGTGAGGTGAAATCAATGTTTATCAATGTTTACCAATAGAAATCAAATCTGCTAAACCCAGTTGTGAGACTGTGAGTTTCTCGGCAAAATCCCACCCCAGTTAGAGCCCAATCATGTTCCCATTGATGTCAACAGGAATTTTTCCAATTACTTCAGTGGAAACAGGATCAAACCCTTGCTTACAAATGATAGCATTAAAAGAGAGCTCTAAGGTCAGCAAAGCCAAACTCTCGGGTTAAACAAGCTTATCCTCCAGTGCAGATTTTATCAATCAACACCCTGACTAAGCACTAGCTCAAACCAGAGAATATACTCATGATTCTACTTGGAGTCCATCTATTTAATCAAATTACACAGAAGAAATGCATTCAATGACACCTGTGCCAATATATAGCAAACTTCAGAAATGGGGCTTTATGCGGGGGGCAAAGTGGGTGTAAAACACTCTGAGCCACTTTTAAGTAGCTGGTATTGATTTATCCCAGTTATCATGATGTCTTGATTATGAAAGGCCAGTTTCCTTTACATAAACCTATTCTACACTGCCAAGCTCCCCTAAAGCTGTATTCGGTACTACTAAGGGTAGGAAGGTGTTCAGGCTTATAAGACCATAGGTGCAGCTCCCCAATCTAAATCATGGCATGTCACAGAAAATGCCATGAGTCAGACCGATACTCCCAACCCAACAGGTGATAGTTTTTGGGTTGTGGGGGTGGGGAGAGATAGAGCTCCAATTTGGAGCTGATCTAGAGAAAGGCTGCATCTGTGCAGCCTCTTCCCCCTAGCCCCGCCCCACTCTCCCAGCCTCCCATGCTGTCTCAGGATGGGACGGGGAGAAGGCAGAGGAGGGAGGTCCATTCTGGGGTTTCCCCAGCCTGCACTGAAGTTGGGGAGCAACCTCCAGAACGAGTTCCCTTCCCTCCTTTCCCCACCTCCCATTCTGAAAACAGTGCTGGGACCAGAGCTGGGTGTGCAGACACAAGTTAATGAAGTGCCATTACATGAGGGTTCAGATTGTCACAAGATTAGACCCTTTTAAAGCATTCTGCAGCTGTGCATTTGTGTTTGGTCATGGCTATAAAGCACTTTCAGGGACCAGATCAGACAAAAATTGTCACTTCTGTCTACGCCCTATGTGAATGGGCATATCCCCTTATCTTACATCTGTCATAAATAATGCAAGACTAAATGGACTAATTTATTTACAACCAGAAGGAATGTGTCTTTTGTTCAGGAATTCATTAATAATACAGAGCTCTACCCAGGCAGAGGTACAGGGCCCTAAACTGGCAATTACATTCAAGTGATCTCAAAAAGGGATATTCTTTAAATGATATTAACAGCTACACAAAATGCAAAGCAAAAGACAAGTATTTTGCAACATTAGAACTGAAAATATTATCAAAAGTTGGCTCTCAGAAACTACAGTGATAGGCAGCAAGCAGTATAGCACCCTAAGACAGATATCCTAAAATGGGCTGACTTGTTTTATAAAATTGTATTATTATACCAGAGATGTCAAAGATAGAGCCTGCAGGCTGGATAGGGCCTGTGGAACCCTATCAAGTGGTCTTGAGTGGATCCACATGCTGCATGTGATGGGCACTGGATTGGCTCCATCTGCTGCACATGATGTATGGGGCTGCTTTGGAATATGCACTGCATATGGTGCCCACGTGGGGCCAGACTGGGATGTGCTGCACATGGTGCACACACAGGGCTGGTCCAGGGCACGCTGCATGTATGCTGCATGTGGCACCTATGTGGGACTAGTCTGGGACATATGCTGCATGCAGCACAAGTACTGAGCCAGTCCAGAGTGCATGCTGCATACAGTGCCCACTTGGGCAGTACAGGATGTGTACTGCACATAGTTCCTGCACTAGGCTGGCCCCATATGCTGGATCTGGCATGGGGGGGCTGGTCAGTGGGCCTGATCCAGACTATGGACCAACTATGCACTGTTCATTTGGCCCACAGGGTTAGATGAGTTTGACATCCCTGAGCTATACTCTTACAGGAAACCATACAAAAGCAGGAAAAGAAACCACTAGAAGGGTCTCTTCTGTTGTCATATGAAAAATGTCATATTTTATAGGTTGGAAATGAAAATATTGTAAAGTATTTTGTGTTTCTTGCATCAGACTTTAAAAGAAAAACAACATTTTTTTTGCATATAATCATCAGCAGCTACAAGTGGTTTCTACGGCATGACAAGTATCTAGTTAAGTACAATGTATATGAGGAAGAATCAGTGACCTTATAACATTAGTGAGAACTATTACCTTCAGTCAGGCAGAGATAATGCTTCAATATCTCCAGATCTTTTAGAGGTATATTTACCTCTGTGACATGGGGAAAAAAGACTCCAGATACTAAAGATACAAATAGGGCATACTGTCACAAGTTCCTTTCCCTCCCTCTCTCTGTCATGATGCTTTACAATGTTACATTATGAAACATAATCTTTTCAAAATTGAAAGCAGGGGGAGGTGTGAAAGAAGCGATCGCTCATCTTCCTTACCCACGTGATCAGAATTGCACGATTGGCCTGATATGGGAGGCTCTTGTTTGTTTGCTTTCCTCTGAAGCACCACTTCAGGCAGGAAATGAACTACACTAGAAAAGCTTCTGATGCAGTAAGACAAATCCTGTGCGCCAGTGACTTTTCAGAGATCATTTGCTTTACTGATAGTTTTAAATGGATAATGGCCTAATCCTCCTATTACCTGTAACTATCTCTGCCTTTAAAATATCTCTCTGACGTGCAACTAGCTACTAGCCTTCTAAAATGAAATCTTCAATGGTCTTAAAATTTAGGGGCCATATTTTCCCCTGGGTTCCATGCATGCAACTGGATAGTGCATCTGGCATCATGGTGCCACCTTACAGATGGCTAACTACCTCTGCCTTTCAGGTTAATCAAGTACTTTTTTAAAATGCACAACCTTAGCACCACCTGATTAGGGCTGCACCTTTCTAACGCATGTGACAGCATCCTGACATACATAAGAAAGCCAGAGTGATGGATGGTTTGGGACCTAGATGCACAATGTTTAATATGCTGATTTGTATCCCTTTCTCAGCTTTGGTAATGTCATTAGAACATGCATTTTGTGGAAAATGAAATGCAAACCATGCAATTTTTTCTGAAAGTGACACAAGAGTGAAAGGAATGTCAGAAAGAAATAACTACAAGCCCACACCCGCCATCATACCCACTGTTAAACTGACAGAGACCTTCATGGCCGCAGGCTACACAGAGGTGTCTACGCATGGTATACACAATATAGGAAAGCCACATGAGACTAGGTTACAACTAGACAGGGAAACTGATGTGACAGTACAATGAAAGCATTTGGGGAGAGTCAGAAGGGCATTTTTCAAAATCTGTTTTTCTACAACAGAAGGAAAACAACCCAACAACCTTCAGCTGGTGGAAAGTGCACTACATCAGAGCTGAATGAATCTACAAAGATGCTACAAGGTCATACATGAATCTTGCTGTGACCTCTCTGGACAGAGTGTTAATATGAAACATCTCTTTCAACCTAGCATTTCATTTTTATGAAAGAAGTATATTCCTACACTCCCAAAGTGTCATCAGATTCAGTTTGCCTGGGAGGTCCATTATTATTTGCACATCCTGAGGATAACCTGCTCATGACATTTACTACCTTGATGAGTCAGCCTCTAGCTGCTTCATGAGAGAGGATGAGTAACATCTATTACTTTACCGAGCACTTCAAGGGGCTGGTAACATTTCATTCAGCACATTTTCTTTGCTTTGTCAGCACTTGAGCTCAAGTGTCTAATTATACACACGCAACAAGTTTAACAGTAAACTAGGACTTGAATTTATACTTACCATACACCATGGCTCCTCCTGTTTCATGCAAGAACCGGAATCGATGATTTTTAAATAACCAAATTGTTAATATTGTAAGGATGAGCAAAAAGTTAAAGACCAGCAACTCCACAGCTCCCTGATGATAAAACGGATCCTCATTTTTCACTGACATATATTTCTTTAAATTCTCCATTTCATTCCTCTTATGGGATTTCTTTCTTTCTTCCTTTCTTTCTTTCTTCAATCAACTTTGGTAAAAAAAAAGTCTAGACACTACTGAAGTTCACAACAAACACATCTGCTTTATTTGCAGCCTCTCGGCAAACTGCCCCAGCTCAGAATTCAGCTGGGTTTTAGTTACAACTTCCTGTTTCTCTCTTAAAGCTGCCCTGTCTTATTTTTAATGTTATAATTGCATCCGTACATTGTACTTGGTTTAGATAGAGATGCAAAAATCTCATGCTGCCTGGGGCTTGATGAACTTCTATTCACCTACATTCTTTTTTTGGTGTGCAAAATTATACTCTATATTTGATGCTTTGTTTTTGTAATTTAAGGGATGCTATCATTTAAAATTCATATAACATGCTGAACAAATGGCATAAAACAATTAATAGACCATCTTTCCATTTTCAATTGTTACTGTCATATGTAAGTAAGATTATGTTTTACTATTACAGCTCTCAGAAAGACCGAGGAAAAAAATGAACAACAATGTTAATCTTTAGGCACCAAGCAGCAATAAGATCTGTACAGCAAACTTTTGAGACTGCATAAAAGAGATGGTAGCTGATATAGATCTCATTGAACCTTAGATTAAAAAAACAAACAACAATTCAAAGGCTATATACTTTGCAGCATCCATGCCAATTGCCTGCTTGTACTTTTCATTAAATGATGAAAACAAGCCAGTTAGTTTTACTTTATATAGCCAATTTCTTGTCAGTTTTCATGTTCAGGCTCTCTAGGTCCTACCATGTTGCAGTGTTTGGGCTACACAAAAGAAATGTTTTCATATTGCAAAACCATCTCTTGCTATTGGAATATAATAAAAAAGAAGGAAAGAAAGTAAATAGAGGAGATAAGTGTTTCCCTTTATTTCAGGTTCTATACAAGCTCCACAGGTTACAGTTTGGACCAGATCTGAGCTGCCAGTGACTTTTTAAACTACTAGTAATGAATTTAACAAATGTGAGTCAAATAAAAAACCTCTACATAGGAATCTAGGTGCCAGCAGGATCTGGGGGAGCAGTTAAGTCCAGTGTTCCCACCTCCAGACACATTCCCTCATGGCCATAAAACAGCCCCTTGCCTGGTCTGCAACCCCGCTGAGCCACATTTACCTCAAGGGACCATTGACTGGTCATTTTCTAAGGCCAAACAGCCTATTTCCTAACTCCCCTCTGCTTTGAGTTTTTTGCAGAAGGGAAAAATATAATGTCCTGATGTTGTATTATTTTTAATTCATTTTTTGTTCTTCCTCTATCATTCCTTTATTTTACAGTCTCTATTTCTATTTCCCCACTATTCTCTTTTGCCAACCCTTCTGTCTTATTTTTCTCCTTTGAATTTTCCTGTTTCCCACTGTTCTTTTCTGGTAATCACTCCAGAGAAATGTGCCAACTCAGTCAAGAAAATGTAAAATGAAGCTGAAATTTTGAGCCTATGACCCATGAGGTCTTATGTGATTTCAAAAACAAGTAGCTAGGTCACAACTTACTGGTTAACCATTAAAAGCAGTAAAAAAGAAAACTGACAAAATGGTTTTGGGGCTATAATATTAATAATGAATATATATTGGTCATTATATTGCAAAAATGCATAAAAGGACTGAATAGAAACATCTGCTTGCAGAATTGAAACAAAACGACTTTCCTAGAATGTTACAATTAAATGGATGGAAAAACTGGCCATGAACAGACATTCATTTCTAGTTGCGGAAATTTCTGAGAAATGTCTATTGCTAGAAATGTTTCTGGGAGAGGGAGCAGAACAGGCTTCCAATCTGCAACCACTCTACCTCCCTGGCTTCTCACACCTTCCCGATCCTGATCCAGGGAAGGAATGGGGAGCAGTGGCTGCTCCACTCCTCCATTCCCAAGTGGGTAGTGGAGAGGCAGGGAAAGACTCCCCATACTTCCCCAGACCTCGGACTCCCTGGTCAGGGAATCTTTCCCCCACTCCACTCCACTCCCCTCCTGTATACCAGTCCAGAAGGGGAGTAGAACAGTGGGACAAAGTCCTCAATCCTTTACCCTGCTGCCCCAGGGAGAGCCTTTCAAGCCCTGCAGGGTTTTGAATTTCTGGGCTGCATATATGACATTTAAAGCTGATATGGCAGGCAACTGGGGTAGGGAAGGTTTCTCCTACCCTGCTTCCCATACCCTGGGCTTTTAAAACACTGTTCCTGCCATCTAGGGGCTGGGAACTGGACTTGGGAACAACCACTCCAAGCCCACTTCCTGGCCCCATCTTTGTGGCCCCTGGTTTGAGGAAGAGGCAGGGAGCAGTGGCGATTGTTCTCCTTTCCTGGACCAGTCCATCAGGGGAGGGGGGCAGCAGGGCAAAGCACCCAATCTGTTCTCCAAATACAGCAGTCCCTGGTTTGGGGAAGAGGCAGGGATCATTGTTGCCTGTTGCCCCGCCATTCCTTTTCCCAACCAGGCTGGGAGAGAAGTGTTTCTCTCACAGGGGAGACCTTCCAAGTTAACACCTCAAAGACTTTTCTCTCAGAGGAGTATGTTTTCCTTGGGACAAAATAAATGATGCTTGTATGCTTGTAGTTTCTACTGAGATAGCAGCGATTATCCCTGTAGAAATGCAATACCTATACGTGGCTACCATCATGTCTTCAGGAAGGAACATGAAATTGAATGCTTGATTTTGACGTTATTTTCTCATTTAAGAAATGACAGTGCTTGTTGTTAGGAAAATATTTTTTTTTCCATGCAGCTTCTGTGAATCTCCCACGTATTTTCTTATCTTCCAATATTTTCTAGCTAAAACTATTTGGTAAATATGACTTGAATTTGTGAATAGTTTCAGGATAACCACACCCTAATTTAGGGGGAAATTGCTATTTGCTGAATTTCACTCAGCTGTACTTATATGAAAATATGTTGTAATATATCACAAGGAACAGGAAAGATCTAATGAATTCTTTATATGAAAACACTAAGATATTCTTATTTACTGTTCTGTTTTCTTAAACCAGTTAGAATAAGTCTGACTTGCACTCCTATAACTTCAACCCCTTAGCAGGAAAGCCTAAAGTCTTTAACCAGATAGTGGGAACTTTTTGCCAATCAGTAGAACCATAGAGTAAGGCACTACTTGGTGGGCACATGCTTTTATGTGCACCTAAATCTAATGTGCATTTGCCTAATGTGCATTAAGGCAACGTAGGCACAAATCTACACATGCACGTGCTAAGTCACATTAATGCAGTGTGGGGACCAACTTGGGACTCAGGTTAGTCTCAAATCAGTCAATAATCAGTGTTAATGTGCCTTAGCACATCTACATGTGTATTAAGGCTCCTTTAGCTATTTGTGCCTAGAATACTTACCTCTGATGTCAGGAGTTGTGTCTAAACTCTCTTTCTTGTGATAATACAATGATACGTTTTGACTAACATACACAGATGACTTTTCTAACATAAAAAGACTCTGACATTGACCACAATGACTCTTTCTTGAAAAAACTGACTTTTTGACTAACACCGGGTCTTCTTGAATCACAGCTCCATATGTAGAGACATGATTGATTGAGCACTTAATAACTTAAGGATTTTCACACCTTAGACATTTTTTTAGGAAATATTTCCGGAACAACTTTGTTTTCTGCTAATCATCAGGTAACTGAGATGCTTGTGCTCACGTGCAATTTTTTTTCCTTAAAGAATGATAAACACGTTATAAGTTGTGGCTCAAATTCTTCACTGGTAAAAATTGGAGCCAATGGATTTATGCCAGTTTTTACCAGTAGAAAATTTGGCCTGGTATATATGATGGATGTAATGCATTCTATACAATTTGTCTCCCCACCCCACCATGAAAAGAACATTTACCAGTAATAAGGTCCCTGACAGTTAGGAAATGAAGGAATTAAATAGTATATGTGATGTTAACTCTTCTCTTTATTTCATATATATTGGGCATGTCTACACAAGACACGTGCATTTATCATGTGCATTAATCTAATTTAATGTGCATTATGGGCACATATCTAAAAATGCACACCCTTAATGCACATTAGAATGGCAAAATTAGGCTAATCATGCCTAAATTTGATACCTGCAAATGCAGGTATCAAATTTAGGTGCAGTTAGTTAAAGTGCATTAACACGTGTCGATACGACCCGGCACAAACTTTAGTGCTGGGTCTGCCCAGTCACATGGCAGGGCTGCAGCAATTTGGCACTAATTTTAGTGCCAAGACCCTAAAGTTTAGTGTCAAGTGCACCAACTTTACTGCTAAGTTTCTGTACATGTAGACACCTGTCAAAAAATCACTTAATGCACATTAACTTAATGCACATTAAGTTTAGTTGCACTTAAATGCACGTGTAAGCATGCCCATCATGATGTACTCTACCACATTGTTTTATCTACCAGAACTCTGCCATACTTAATACCCAGCTGGATAAGACGTGGGTAAAAAATAAATATTTCATATTTCCCATCATTTCCACCTCATCAGTGTATTCCTTTATAATTTATGTGCTCTTCGCCCTCCAAATTTGGCACTGAATATGGAATTCCCCTTGTGACCTTTGTTATGAAGGGCTGATTGCTGTAGTATCTGAGTGCTTCAAAAGCATTAATTAACATTTATTTATAATTTCCCTTGTGAAAATGGGAGGTATTATAGCTCCCACTTTAAAAGGAGGCACTGATGCTCAAATTATTAAAATTTTCACTTTACACTAATTTTGGTTGATTAGTAACCGATGACCCCACTTCAGGCTAGGTACAGACATTACACATAAATTGGTATAAGTGATTGGAAACTGATCTAACCCTGTAATAGAAGTTCAGTGCAAACAGACCAGTTTAAAAATCATGGAACCTGGTCTAAGATAGACCTGGATTGATGTAATATCAGATTTAAGTGATTTAGCGTAGGCTGATCTATTGAACTTCTGTACCAGATCCCCTTGCAACTCAAGTTAGGCTGCATTCCCCTGGCATCCCAGGCACCTTTGCAGGCCCCACTGAGTGCCAAGTCAGCCTGTCCCTGGGCTCTCACAGAGAGGAGCCAGAAAAGCCTCTGTTCACAGCTCTGCATCTTACCTGTGCCTGTCAG